TTTTTTTTTTTTTTTTTTTTTTTTTTTTTTTTTTTTTTTTTTTTTTTTTTTTTTTTCATGTACTCTTCATGAAATATATTTTGAATATTGTTAATATATAATTTTTTCGAATAATTTTCGAATTATCATCGTCACTTGGGCGATGGACACTGCCAATAAATAAAATAGGTCAAGTTCTGAGAGTAATTACAACACGAAATTATAAATTTTAAAATTAAATGATAATATTTTACAGCTTATCAACTGATCAAGTAATTTCATTACTTGAATGTTAATGTTTAAAATCTATATACACATCGTGTTACAATTTCACACAATGATATTCGATGCTGTTAATACGAATAAAATTGCTTCTTTGCAATTTATAAATTTTTTTGTAAGTAAACACTTGCTCAATAAACTTGATACATTTCACTGGTATACAATCTCAAGTGAAAAATTCGATCGTAAATATAGAATATTTAGTAAATAATCGTAGATCGAGTGTCACTTTTCGATCCAAGAACAATTTACCTACTAACATTAAAAAAAGACTTTTTTCAAAAACTTGTATCACGTATGTAAGTTTATAAAATTACTATAATGAAATTTCGAATAATTTTGAGTACCAGCCCAATCGAAAAACGGTAAATTCCAGGCTTACAGCCAAGAAAAATCATAAAAATCACCAACAAATCATAATAAAAATTTAATTTTATCAATTTTCGCGTAAAAAATCAAATAACTTTCCCGAAATGGAAATTTTTTTTCTTCACTGGGACGTATAAAGCTTTCGGTTAAAAGGAGAAAGAACAAGTTTCTCATTATTCATAAATAATACCACCGGTTTCTTGGAAAAACGTAAAAGTTCAAAAATATAAAGCTCTTCACGACAGATTTCGATCCAATCAATGGACGTATATCATTTGGCTTGTCAAAAAAAATACAGTTCTATATTTTATATATATATATATATATATATATATATATATATGTGTGTGTGTGTGTGTGTGTGTGTGTGTGTGTGTGTGTGTATGTATTGGGCTTGGTTAGCGAATGCGAGTAAACGTGTACGCGCTCCTCCTTGCAAGATGAATTTTTGCGTGCTATTATTAAATAGTTGCAACGTAAATGTATTGCGAAAATAGGTCGAAAAATTAGATAGTTCAAGTGGCAGAAAATAAGTGTTAAAAAAAAGAAAAGCCTTACTTAAAGTAAGAAATAAATTGTGAAACAAAGCAAAAGTTTTTAATTATTATTAATAAACCCAGTTATTAATAACATTTTTGATTTAAAATGTTTTACCAACGTCCAATCGAGAACTCAGTTGATCTAATGCTATTTAAAACAAGGTCAGAATATTAGTTGCAAAGACTCGAGGAAGTAAAGTGGCATACCCTGAGTTAGGTTTAGTAGATTTATTACCTTTAATTATCATTTGTGAATTTCGTAAAAAAGCCCTAATTAATATATATTTCCAATTTAAGCATAGATTGCCGAGAAAAATAGTAAACAAGTCAAAGTGAAAGTTTAAAAATTCAGTTGAGACCTCACGAGAGCCGTTAATTTTACGACCAGAAGTGCACGTTTTCTTGGCGAATTTACGTTCAACGTATTTATGCTTTTACGAAAACTAAATTTTGAAGATTTCAAATGATAAAAGTTAGATTTGTGTTAACTATTATTCTTATAAAAAGAACGATTGACATCGGAAAGCAACGAATAGAGAATAAAATAGAAAATTCAAAGTACACGATAAGCGTTTAAAAAGCATAAAAAAATTTCAAGTATTCAGATAGGTATGAAAAAATTATACGTCAATATAAATGCAATGGCAAGAATTAGATGTGGAAGTATAAAATCAGAAAATAAATACTGGTTGAATCAAACTGATAACCTATTAGTCAGCGAAGGAGGCATTAGCGAGGTAGTAAAAGACTTGAGAACGAATGTAAAAAGTTATTCAGAGAAGCACTAAGGCGGTTTGATGAGAGTGGGTGAAGGAAATAATCTTTTTTTTTTTTTTTTTTTTGTACAAACCAAGTCCTTATCTGGGCCAATAGGCTGATAAAAAAAAAAAAAAAAAAAAAAAAAAAAAAAAAAAAAAAAAAAAAAAAAGCACACGGGGAGAAATCATCACCACCTTCATCATCACAGCGATACACGTTACCATATCAAAAAATCTTTTAAACCACAGATCGGCTCAGACGGCGATCCTCCAAGTACTTAAAACAGGCAGGCACCGCAACCTACTCGTGTCCAATCTTGTCCTTGTGCACGCGCTCGATGTGCCTGGCCACGTGCATCTTCTGCTTGGCTCGATAAACGCAGTGCGGACAATGAAACTGGGGCTCCTTGCCGCACTCCCACTTCCGGTGATTCCTCAGGCTGCTCTTCAGCTTGTAGGTGCGGTTGCAGTCCTGGCAGGGAAACTCCTTGCTCTCGTTGCCGCTGCTACCGCCCCCACCGCCCCCGCCCGTGCTTCCTGACTCCTTGTCCGAGCCGACGAGGCTGCCGGTGCTCGACGAGCGCCAGATGATCGACGGCACGTACCAGGAGTGCCACGACGAGGCCGAGCGCCGGAGATCGGCTAGGCTTAGGTTTTGCGCTGCAACAGCCAGACAAGACACGGGGTTTACCGGTTATTACATTTTTCGCACACACGCGCTTCTCTCTCTCTCACGCTATGTACCAGGGCTTTTTTTTTCTCTATCATTTGAGTACGGTTAAGCATTTTTTTTTTTTTTTTTTTCTGTTTGGTTGCTGGTGTGACAAAATTTTCTTTTTACAATGCGGAAAAATAAGTTTAGTTCGCGTTGGTGTGCAGGGTCCAGACTTTTTTAAATACTTTGCGTTGAAATTTCTTGTTATGCTAAAATAATTTTTTTCCTCTTTTTAATGACTATCAATGTAACAGTTATTAATAAAATCTTCTTGAGCGAAAATAATCCATTGATACTTTAAAAGAAGAAAAAAATGAAAATTTTTCAAGCACCGAGTTATATTAGTAATGAACGCATTCGTATCCATACAAAGTCTTGGACGCTGCAAATAGTTTTATTGCACTGCCCACGAGAAAAAAAAAAAAAAAAATTATAAAAACTACTGATCTAGCACTGTAAGTTGATGGTTATCCACGTGAAAAAATGCTGCTCATTTATAGCGCTAAAACAATAATTTTTATACTTTTTTAAAATAATGATACGTTATACATCTACAAATTCTTCCGATTGCACAAAAAGCAAATTTTTACATTTTATGTTTAAAGCAGTTCCTCAACCGATGCGTTTTGAGAACCCACCTGTTTTTTCATACTGAAATTCATACAAAGATTAGAGAGAATAAATTTGTAAAATGGAGTTGAAGCGTTAAAAATTATGTGTTGCTGAGTTCACGTAAGATTTTCAAGTCATAGGTACCAAAAAAACAACAACGTGTACAAGGTGTGTCGTAGAAAGAAAAATTATGATACTAACTCGTTACTCCAGAGATGCAGAACTCGTAAGCTGAAAATTACAATCAATACACAAGTAAATGAATGATATTATTGAAGGATAATTTTTAGGGTTGCATTTTGTTTGTATTTATTTAGAAAAATGATATAAAAAATTTTTTTTTCCATGTAAAGTAAGTGCTGTTCGATGTGTGCCATGACATTTATCTTTTCCAAAAATATAAATTAATAAATTTTCTTGCCAGATTGTAGTTTTTTAAAATTTACGTTTCCCACCTGCAAAATATAAAAAAACTTTAGTATATTTATAAATGAAATTTAAAAAATTAACATTTTAAATGAATATACATCAATTGTTGGAATAAATGAAGGCTGAGCAGTTAATTTATTGACTCATGAAAAGGATAGGGTGGTGATAAAAACAGACATCATTAACTTTTGGCATTATTTAATTTACAAATCCTACGTGTACAAGTGAGTAAAAAAATACTTACGCAGTAAACATTTTATTTATTCATTTACCATCAGTATCAAAAAATATTTAATTAAATGATTACAAGTATATGTTTGTAAAATCGCTACTCAAACAAGTTTACAGTGACAAATTAAAGTAAAACTAAACATCTGAATAAAATTTTGCATTGGATGACATACGTATGTAGGAATGTATGAAACATAAATATCATTAATAAAGAACATCTCAAATTTGCAAGATAAGGCACATGGTTTTTAAAATTCATCGTTTTAAAAACGTAAGTATCTTGCACGTTTTTAATATTTATTATCATTGTAAAAAAATTGGTCCCTTGATATGTGGGATAATCATCGCTCTTACAACTAGAAAAATGACGTATCACTATAAGGTACATTAAAATCTAGCAATACTATTCATTTTCTAATCCTAGTAAGTTACAATTGATTAATTACTAGATTTTTTCGTTTGAAAAATTGAGTAATTTGAGGACAGGAGAGGAATGCTCTTTTTCAAAAGTAACGATTACAATCTAGGAAGGACATTATTTCAAAATCATTTTTGGCAAAAAACGTTAAAATATAACTGTAAAAAGAATCAGTATAAAAAAAAACGACTAAACGATTCCCTTTCAAATTTGTATAAAAATACAAATGTATCAACAGTCTCAAGTCTTAAGAGTTCACCTCAATATTTGAGTAGAAAAAAATACCCATGTTAGAGGCTATTATTATAAAAAATATTTTTCTTAAGTTATTTATCGATCGAAACGTTTGTTTGTCGATGCATCAGCATTTTTAAAATGCAGTCTGTGTATCGAATCATTTATGGCTTAACGATTCATCTTATTGTAAGTATCGTGACAAACGCAACTACATCCATGAAAAACTTAAAAAGCCAGTATGGTAAATAAAAATTCTTAAAGAAAATTAGAATCGTTATTTACAGGTGATTCGCAATAAATACCGCATAAAAACCCATACATTGAGAAAAAGTAATCCACCAAATGAAGAGAAAATTTACAATTAAAAAAAAAGAAAGTAATAATAATAAGGGGTAAAGTAAAAAAAAAAAAAAAAAAAATGGCAAGTAGAAAAATTAATCGTCGCTGGTCTCGTGCTTGTAATGATGTCTCTTCAAGTGAACCGTGAGATTACCCCTTTGTCTCGCCTTGTACTCACAGTACGGGCACTGAAAGGAGGGCGGCTTATTACCACATTCCAGTGATTCGTGTCTCCTCATGGTGCTCTTCCACCTGTACCCCTTGCCGCAAAATTTGCAATAAAATTCCGTTTGCTGCTTCAAGTGGTTGTGCTTGACCAACTTCTTGTTGTTGTTGTTGTTGTTATTGTTATTGATATGTGTCGTCGTTGGGGACTGCTGATCTTGCTCCTTGGGCTGCAGCTGGTCCTGGACGATCATCATGAGATCCTTGGGTGAGACTTGATTGTTGCGAGATACGAGGCCCAACGAAGCGGCGAACACCAGACTGTCCAACGAGTTTTCGCTGTTGAGCAACTCGGAGGAGAAATTCTCCGGACGCTGCTGCTGCTGGTTGTCGCTCTCGCTGGTATCGTGGTCGCTTGGGACGCTGCGGCTGAGGGCGCGTCTGTTGTTGTTGCTGTTCTTTGACTTCTTGCGATTGCGCCGCAGTAGAGATATCATGCTCAATCGGCTTGTACGACCACCTAGAATTTAAGTGATTATTTCCAGTGTCAGTTATTATACTTGGAGGTTTTTTTTTTTTTTTTTTTTTTGATGGATTAAATTTAACGATGATTGATATTTTTTGCGAAATAATATCAAAAATTGATTTGATCAACTTGGAACGGCAACGCATCTTTTTCGCTACGCTAAAAGTTGAAAAATCATATTTTTAACTACTCTTTGGAGTAATAAAAGGACACATAAATCGATTCAAGTTTTTCTCTCTGTAATTTAAAATCAGTGGCAATACAATTTTATAAGCACCTTTTTTAAAACGAAATAATGAAAATAATATTTAATTAATAGAGGGAAATAAGACAAATAAATGCCATATCACTCCACTCATGCAGGAGCAACGAATTTCGAAAGGTTGTCTTACGGCTCAACTCATACTGACCCACATCTACATTTACCAATACACATTAAAAAATACTAATTATCAGTCGGTTATCCGCTGAATCAACTATTACTTACTTAAAATATAAAACTTTAAGTAATTATCTGTAGGTGTTATAATATCGTTGTTAGTAAAAATAAAATTAGGTATGAAATATCGACTGCGAAAAACTAAATGATGAATGAAACAGGAAATGGAATTAGAGTAATAATTTAAAATATAATGAAGAAAAAAATGAAAATTTTTCAAGCACCGAGTTATATTAGTAATGAACGCATTCGTATCCATACAAAGTCTTGGACGCTGCAAATAGTTTTATTGCACTGCCCACGAGAAAAAAAAAAAAAAAANAAACAGCTCCTAACCTCGCTCTCTTGCAACTTTAAACTGTATACATGTATATTATGTTGCAATGCACGCACAGTGTGTCACACACGCACCCCAGCGCTTTTCATTTCGCACTGATTCGGTAAGAGAGAGAGCTTGCTGGCTAGCTGAATTGCTTTCCTCTTTCTTTTCGGCACTCTTGCTCTTTCCCCACCGAAAACACACGTAAGTATCGCGCTATTTCTCACGTAGTATACGCGCGGAACAACCGTTATTATATATATATATAAGTATTATACACTATAAAATATAACATATAAATATAAAAAATAACATAAAGATCCCTTGTCAAATTTTGTTCTTCTAAAGTCATCATTGACTGTGGAAATATGTTGAAATATCTATGATAAACTCCTAATGCTTTTTCTCATCAGCAACTAATGAAATGTTGTTTTAGTTAGGTGTCAATGAAATCTAAATTGAAACCCTAGGGACTGAAAACGATTTTTTGTCATTTGAAGCTTCCGTTTAAAAGTTACAGAGGTTTCAAGTTGGGGAACGGAAATCGAAGGATATATGAACGATTCCACAGAAAACAACTGAAATCCTTTACATAGCTTTAAGAATACGAAAAATTACGATACATGAATTAAATGATACACTTTTATTACCTTTAAAAATCCTTATTTGTTCTCAAATATCTGAATGGAAAATAATAAATTATCCCATTCTATAGTTTAAGAAAAATTTAATTTATTTTCAGGATTGGCTTGAAAAACCTTAAAAATCTCTTTAAAAAAGCGGTTACTTATGGAGACATATAAAAAATAAAAATCTTTGCCTCCAAAAATTGTTGCCAATTTTGGAAGGCCCTACCTCAAGTTTTTTCACGGAATTTATCATCTATTCTAAAGCGTGTGTTACGTTAATTGCGATAGACTATAACTTTCGAACAAAAAATTGAAGGCAAGTACTTTTTTTTAATGTTCAGGGTTTTTTTTAAAGATTTTATTTATAACTAGGTAAAACATCATAATATTTTTTGCAGCCAAAGTACAATTAGGCCTATTTCTATTGTTACTCATGTCTGTGAAACAAAAAAACAAAAGGGAATAAGACTCTGGCACCTTTCGTGTTTCAGTATAAGAAAATATATTTTAATTAACGACTCCAAAAAATTAATCAAAAAGCAACTCATTTTGTTTTGTGAATTCCAATTTGTTGGGGTTGATTAAGTTGCCGAGAGAAATTATTATATAATTTTGTGCATAAACTTTATATTACATTGATTTAAAAACAGAACTAGTTTTGAAAAAAATAAACATGATCCAATGTCCTAGAACAAGTCATTGTTTGATAAGTTGTTTAATACGTGGCTATTTAATATAATTACGTTATCTCCTGAACATCAGATTATACAATCATTTTTTACACAACTGTTTGAGATTTTTCGGGGTAAAGAGCCTCTTTAAGCAACTTTTTTTTAATCTTAGAGGACAGGTTTAATAAAAATACAAACGAAAAATTTAAAAAATTTCGCCACAACAGCAACACGTCGTCGTCGACCATTTTCCCACTTTTTATTTATTGTTCTCCACAATAATCTCAAGAAATGACACAATAATTTACAAAAAAAAAAAAAAAAATTAGTAATAAATCTCATCCTGTCTACTTTCGGTACTCAGCCGTTTCGTTTATTCGCTCAAGCTACCACATTATATACCTACCTAATGGTATACGAAAAGAAAAAAAATTTTTTTTTCCACGTACAAAATCATAAAGCTCGGCCGTGGCGAAACTTCTCTCTTTCTCCCGGATCTTCTGAAAAACTGCGCAGTGTATATATAACAGTATTGGAGATCGCAAGGCTGTTTAGGCGTAGGAGTAGGGGAGCACCATGGCGACATATACCTATACATCGCTTCTCTCAAATATAAGCATAGCAGTATACAGTTGTGGAGTATTAGTACAGTTTTTCCCCTCCTCTCGATGCGAGAGAGATTAGAGCGCGCAGCTTGCAGACATGGCCTGTATTATTTTGTATATGTCTATATATGTACACACATACATGGAGACTCCGTATAAGCAAAAGCGGCACCTGCTCTTTGTCTGCTGCTGCGTGGCCCCGTGTTCTTTTGTCGCTTTTTTCTTCGACAAACGTGTTCCATTTTATGAATTTCGCCACCATGTGCCGACTGCAAGTTTCGTGCTTTCTTTGGTCATTATCGTTGTTTGTCCGCACACTTTAATTGACAAACTTTACGAGCATTGTTATCGACAGAGAGACAGTAAATACAGAAATTGCTAAAAAAAAAAATGTAGGAGACAATGTATTTTTAAACGACTGATTGGTCAATCTTGAAGTTCCTACAACACTTAAAACTGCGTTAAGTTGCAATTTATAAAATAAGATTCGTTATGCAATGAATCAGGCGCAATCAGAATACAGCAAATATTGAAATGAGCAAAAAAAACTTTCAAATTAAATAACTATTAACGCGCAATGGCTTTGCAAATCGCAAATTTTCATCAAATTAAAAACCACTCAAGCACATCGCAGGTAAATGACACCGACAACAATAGGATAACAATGTATTTATAAAAAAAAAAAACGGTGAAAAGAAAAAGTAAATGACCGGCAGATTATGCAGGGGATGTGTAGGTATAAATTCGAATAACGAAAGTTAAAACGTTTTTTTTTTTGTAATACCGAGCTTTAAATATTAACGATTACCACATCAGTCACGAACCAATTCACTCCTATCATGTTTGTTTCGTAACCACGTTGCTTTTCAAGCACAGCTTGGAATCTTTGGTTCTTTTTTTTTTTTTTTTTTTTTGTTTTTTTACTCGATACAAGTATTACAAAGGAGCTTGAACGATACCTTGCGACAGAACGAATTGATGTGACATGGTGTTGCTTTCCCGCAATTATCCTGATGAAGAAGAGTCACATGGAGAGAGAGCTGGGTCGCACATTAGTCCGAAAGAAAGACAAGTAGTTGCTCTGCAAAGTTCCTTTGTAAGTATACACTATACAATCACCGGCGCGGTAATAATACCTAGATATATACCTTATACTCATACATGTATAGTGTGTCAGCAGCAGCGGCAACAAGTTGCTCCTCCAACAACTTGTTGAATAACTCGCAACTTGAACACCCACGCGTGCGAAGGAAAAAAGCCCGGCACTGCGAATAAAAAAAATGAACCCTCGCGTGTACACACACGCGCACACACTGATCAAGTTGTACGAGGAAAGCACGTATACGAGAAGAAAGAGAGCTTTAGAGAAGAAAGCCACGAGGGGGACCACCATTTTTCGAAACGAGGCTCTGCTCCGTACTCCCGAATGTACGACGTACCGAAAATCCCGGGTGGCATTGTCTCTCCGCTGCTTGGTTTTTTTTTTTTTTTTTTTTTTCATTCCTTCACTTATGCGTACTTAACAATTTTTTTCGTATACAAAGAACGACAGTGACGCAGGTTAGGTGTACACTACACTCTGCCAAAAACGCACACAAACATAAACAGCTCCTAACCTCGCTCTCTTGCAACTTTAAACTGTATACATGTATATTATGTTGCAATGCACGCACAGTGTGTCACACACGCACCCCAGCGCTTTTCATTTCGCACTGATTCGGTAAGAGAGAGAGCTTGCTGGCTAGCTGAATTGCTTTCCTCTTTCTTTTCGGCACTCTTGCTCTTTCCCCACCGAAAACACACGTAAGTATCGCGCTATTTCTCACGTAGTATACGCGCGGAACAACCGTTATTATATATATATATAAGTATTATACACTGCTGTACATACAGACGGGGGTCACTCGCGGAAAAATGTTACACGCGCGTGTATATGAACATAAGCACGGCCGCCACGGCCGAAAGTTTCGCGCGAGCATATATTATATATATATACAAGTATACAATACAACACTCATGTGTATGAGTATTGGAAACACCACGCGATCCGCGCCGCCGGAGATTTCGGAGTCGGTGTTTGGAGCAGTCGACTGGTGATAGTCGCTCGAGCTTCGCTTGCTCGCACGTGTGTACGATATATGTATAATACACGTAGGTATACGCATCATAGACTTGTGAAGTTGGCGCCCGTAAATATTAAATATTAATATTTTGCACCCATTCAGGGCTTAAACGATTCCTCCTTACTTGCGGATTTATCCTCCACTTGAATTTTTATTTGCGGATCAATAGTTTGCGAGATATTTGCAAAATAAAAAGTCGAAAATGGGCGCGGCGCTGAAGTATAAAAAACTTTGTTTTAAGTGCTAAATTGGGTTAAAATCCAATTCTACCTGTACGATTCGATTCCTCCTCATTTGCGGATTACGGAGGTATATAAATTAATGTAATTAAATGTCACAAAGTTTGTAAATGATGAATTTAATTATTGAGTGAGAGAATCTAGTAACTTTTGTCTAGTGACTTTTGGTCCAGTGCTCCGTTCCTGTTGTTCGGTACATGTCGCTTACTCCTTACAGCGGGTTCTACAATGGTAGTTTTCCTACGAGTTTGAAAAGTCTCTGTGTGCGAACCGAGAGGTTTGCGGCCCGAGCCGAAGGCGAGGGACGTAACGAGGTTCGTAAAGGAGACTTTTCGAACGAGTTCCGGAAAACTGCTTTTTCGCCCGAGGAAGTACCAGCCTCCCAAAACCACCCGAGGGCGGAAAATGTTATTTTTGCTGATATACATATAATGACGTTGTTGTTGTGATATCGATACTTACTGCCTATAGGCATGGTATTATTTCAACAACCACGTGAATTTGGAAAATTATGAAAATTAAAAAGAGAAGAAAAAAAATTGACGACAAATTCGCCAAACGAATTTCTTAAAAAAAAAAAAAAAAAAAAAAA